CACGGAGGAATATGAGGTGCATGTTATACATATTTTATACCCAAACACATAGTAAAAAAATAATTTAAGTTTAAAATGTCAGCGACACTCTCCTTCGTGTGCAGGTATAATCAAAATGAACGTAAACCTCACTTTAGCCCAATAAAGGACGAAACGCCTGATACGAAATATTTTTTCCACTCTCTCATTGATTTTCCTAATATATACCGTATATATTCGCGTATCACGCGACCTTTGAAGACCTAATTTTGAAGCTAATTTGACTACAACAAACAGACACACAACGTTTGGCCAATGGCATAGCCAGGGCCAGCAGCACATACGCTAATTTTATATCTCGTGTATGATGCGACCACCTTAAATATTAACTGCAAAATTAGATCTTCAAAAGTCGCATGATACGCGTGTGTATACGGTATTTTATTATCTATTCGATTGAGCTATCACGCCAACTATCAAGGTCCTGCATCAAGGTTGGAAACTCATTAGGGTGGCATAACCTGGCTGGTCAATGTAGGTGGTTGCTGGGCGATGAGCTCGTCTTTCGCCATGGCTACGTATCCAGGTCAGTAGATCACTCGCAAGTCTGCAAAGTGCATTCTGCGTTCGCATAAGTTTGTAGATATAATCAGGGATGGGACTATAGAGTTGTGATTTACTTAGATGTTGTCTCCAACAGATGTTAAATAGCTTTCAGCATCCGAGTGTAGATTTCATCAAGCTTAGACTATATAGTTTTAGTTAAGCAGTAGTACCCCTACATTAATACTGCTTCTACAGTGGCTCAAAAGAATCTCCGCTTGAGGTTGTCTTGTAGATCATGTTTCCAGATAACGTCAATTTTATGAATGCAGCCCAGGCTTTAGTTATGCAAATTTTCACATCCTTTTTAGTACAATTTATTTCTCTTAGTTATATAGAAAAAAAAAGAAAGATTTTATTGATTCACCTGTGACTGTTTTGTGCCTTGCTAGTCGAAGCCTATAAATTCAGTTTTAGGGGCAGTGACATAGTCCAAACATCATTGGCAGCATTTTCTAGATGTAAAACAATGGCATTAGTAATGGTGCCTGCAATAATAGCCTTGTCATTTGAAGAGTCAATATATATCAACTTTTTTTTTTTTTTTTTTTTGCATGATAGTGACTTGAGTCTTGGTGATAAAGTAAAAGCCAGATAATGATATTTGTCGAATAAAATTTTCAATACGTAGTCAAGGGTGATAATAAAAAAAAGTATGTCACATTGAAGAGCTCTTGTTTTTGATGTAAAAAAATAAATGTCTCCGTCTAACCAAATATGTACAAAAAGATGTATAAACCAAACTGGAGAAAGAATAAAGATAAAAAAATGACTCACCATAGACGGGTATATTGAAAAGATATGATAACAAAAAAGAAATAACAAAAAAAAAATGGCTACCCAATAATTTCTCCTTGTATTTTTTTTTTGTTTTTTTTTTTTTACGAGTCGATTCAGCATGGGTTGAGAAGTGAAAACAAGCCGTCGATTGGCAGAAAAATTAAGCTGCACACTTTGAGATTGGCCTTGCAGATTTGGCGCTAACTCCGCCATTTTTTCGTTATACGTGATTTTTACTTTTCCTTCCTCATCCTCCCACTTTTGTATATATTTATACAGGGTGCGGCAAAAATATCTCCCACTCTTTTAATATTATGTGTGAGGTATTTCTGCTGCATCCTGAATGTACTGAAGCATTTTTCATTATTCCATATAATATTAAAACAATATTTATAAATTGTATTTTTTTTAATGTTGTAATATTTTTCAGCTATAAAAAGTAATAGTAAGATTAAGCAATACAAAGCGTTGTCCTTATTTTTTTTAATTATTTTATTTATGCACTAGAAAATGTTTAGCACAGAATTATTTCGTTATAATCTGTTAATTCTCGGCATTAATAGAAATTGAAGATTCTTACGATGGGTAACTTTTTCTACTTTTTGCTCTTCTTCCCGTTTGTTCCATTGTTTTGAGTAATATACATACATACATATATATAATATAGTATCGGAACTGTTGCTATAAAAAGAAAATTACAGCACATCGACATTTAATCTCTTTCGAAGTAGTCCACTTGCGAAACCATCCAGCGCCGTTCTCATTGATGGAAGCATTCATCGAACTCCTTTTGGAGGATAGCGAGCAGCTGCCACGTTACTTTCTCTTGAATATCCTCGACGTCTTGAAATCTATTCCTTTCAAGTGGGATTTGATTTTTGAGGAGAAAATAGTCTGATGTGGGGCGGGGGGGGATATCGTGCTTGACCCAAAACTTGAACAAGCCATGATCACTGACGAAACCTTTGTGATGTGGTGAAACGACCACACTGTACACACAATTAAAGCGAGTGAGACCGTTATAACTTAGTTTTCGTGTTACGGTCAATCTGTGCCAAGGGGCTTCAACCTGCATACTTTAGCTTCGTTACCATTGCAACAATCCCGATACTTTTGATCAGAGCTAGTATATATATATATATATATATATATATATATATATATATATATATATATGGTGCGATGGATAAATTGTCCAAATTACGCAAAAAATGAAAATAACTCTGATTTTAACAGATATATTTACTAAAATTACACAGAAATATCTTGAAATACTAAAGAGTAAATTTATTCACTAAAATCGCCATTCGCTTCAACCCCGGCCTCCAGACGACTTCGGAATCTCTTGCAACTCTTCTGGACGGTCTCCTTGTTTAAAGATGGTGAATGCTGCCATAATCCTTACCTTCAGTTCACCTTTGGTTTTACAATGAGTTTTGTTGGTTTCTCGCTCAACGTCGCCCCCCCCACACACACATAATAATCTAGGGGGTCGCAGTGTAGGGAGTTAGGTGGCAAGATGTAAGGGGGTGATGTGGCCGCAGAAATTGTCTGACAACCACGACTGGGTTCTCTTGCTTGTGTGACATGGTGCAGAGTCCTGTTGCCAGACATAGTGCTGTCCTGGGTCGAGAGAGTGGCTGCTGGAAGACCCTAGCTCCTCAAAGCACTTGATACAGGCCTTTGTGCTAAGTCTGATGACTTGTGGGAAGATGCATGGAGGCATAATGTCGCCATCATGTTTGTAGTGGAGATTCCGGCGCGAATGCCAATAATACAGCATGCCGTTTCCAAATTCCTGGCGGAATGAATTGCGTAATGGTGCTCTTTTTCTCAGAGACGGTGCCAAATAGACCCTATTATACTGTACAGTCGACAAAATCAAGAACAAACAATGCGCATGCGCAAAATTAAAAATATAAAATGGCAGCAATTTACCCATCACATCCTGTATACAATTTTAAGAAGCATTTTGCATCATTCTGTACAATCTTGTCGGTCTGTTGTCTTCATCGCTGTTGTTTTTAACGCAATGTTTTGTCTAAAACGGTATTTAAGTTCATTGTCCTATATATTTTTCTGACTACTGTTTTAATACCGGATTAAAATTAACATGTCCTTATTTTTTCTGGAATATATTTCATTTGATTAAAATTCGTTCTGTGCTTATTTTTTGTTTAATTTTCAATCATCTCCTCAACTAAGACAAAAGAATCGTAAGACTGAGCGCTAAAGTCCTCCATCTTTTATCTTAATAAACGGCAAATTCTCTGTGTGGCCCCTCGAAATCTATCCACACTTATTCTACATAGACATAATATACCTTTATGAAATCCGAATGATCCCGTGATTAAAAATCAGCCCTTCATCTGGGGTTTGAACATCCAATATTGGGATTTGTGTCCGCATTAGAAGGGAACAGTTAAACTCAAATTTGAATTGGAATTTCGGCCCAAATTGCTCTTTTGGCCGGTTTTGGACTTATAGTGAGGTTTTGAAGTTCCATGAAATGAATTGAGGAATTCAAAGCTATTTCTCCAAAATTATCATTGCTATTTTTTAAGCTGGATCGGCGGTCCCTTTTCATTTTGGGCCGGAGACCCATTTAGCAACCTGCAGGAGCACGCTTAAAGGTCCGCACGAATGCAATAGGCATGAAAAGAAATGTAACAAAGACGACGAAAACATAAGTGAAACTAAGAGTCTTAATGGTTAAAGGATGTAGTAAGTAGTTTGTTACAAGAATATAGTACAACGTTACAGTGTAAGTTCTCAGAAAGGAAGAAAGTTAACGTAAGTTGCAAATACAACAGTAAACATATAAAATTTGGCTGGCTTAAACAATTTTTAAATAATAATACAATAAGAGATTAATGCTCGAAAAGGAAAAAAAAAAGGTTACGATGATACATCCCGGCGATGCTATCGTTGGACTTAAGATTCAGGAGAATGAGAAGTAAGGAACCGCGTACTCTGAGTTCGTGGTTCATTGTGCCAGTTACGGTGGTAACTAAGGGCTAACAGGAAGTAGTAAAAATGGTGACTAATTTAAAATTTACCTAAATTAAAAAGCGGCCGAACAAGAGGAAAATAAAATAGACGTTCTGTACTGTTATATTTAACAGCCAACGAGGGATGTATGTGGCATAAGGCCGAGTTTACCGTGGGTTTTCCGAGCCCGTAGGCTCGGCCGAAAATATTCCCTTAGAACCCTGTCTACCCCCCCCCCCACTCCCCCGGATGAAACTTTGCCCATTCGGGTTCCTATCTGCTCGAGGCGGAGAGTTCAAGAGATGAATAATCTGGTCGATTGTTCCAGATGTTCTTTACTGTGCTAACAGTACATTTAATATTACACTATTATGGAGATAGCGAAAGTAAATGTCTATGGTGTCGAAGTAAATATTTCTTTACTAGATACCTCAAATTCACATATCGAGATAAATTTTACCATTGTTTTTTTTTTTTTTTTTTTTTCAATAAATTCTTGTATTTCATCATATATAGTAGATTGGGGCGCGGGTACTGGTTTTTATATGATTTTAAAATGTAAAAATTTTCATTAATTATGAAACTCCCCCAATTTACAATCTTTCCGTTCTGGCTCCGTATAACTACCGTTCTCCTCTTTCCAGCTAATGGTTCGTTCTGTTGACCACGATCAAGCTGATGAAGATATCAACCGAAACGTCATCTTAAAAAAATGATAATAATTCACTTGAGGGAAAAAAAATCTTCAAACAATACAGGAAAACCGAATAATATATCAAACGATCTGTGTTTAAGAACGAAGACGGTCATCCGACAATTCTTAACTAATTTATGCATTTCTATATTTTTAAGTGCACTTTTTCTGATAAAACATTTCATTTTCCAATCATCTAAACGTCTTTGATATTGATTACAACTAACGAATGTAGCATGTGCTTTGAACAATGAACTGTTATAGAAAATATTCATATTTTATTATCAATCCAAAATGATAGGCTTTATTATTTTAGTTTCTTTTCTATCATTTTCAGAAGAATTAACCGCCAAAAAAGAAAGATTAATTTTAATATTTCTCTATTTATTTTCATCTTCCATAGAATATTAAAAAAAGAAAAGGTTATTTTGTTGACATACCGATAGACCAAAAAAAAGGTTTATCAGAGTTAATTTTATGTATATTATCATTATAAGCCGGTTTCAATTTGTGTCTATTATCGTAACATAGCAAAAACGGCACATAATAGCGATTTTTAGAGCAATACTTTTAAAATGCTCTCATTTGAAGAATAAAGAAATTTCCAGTCCAAGTTCGCCTTAAATCAGGTAATTATGATCCGATGCTTCTGTTACAAAGGCTAAAAGAAAACCATGTCAAAATTGAAAGAGACGATTTATAAGATTATTAATCGCTGCTAGAAGCCATGGTACATTATGCTTTGTAAAAGAAAAATATTTTGTTATACATTTTTATGTAGATTTTGTTTTTCTGCCAAAATTATTTGTTTAATTTTTTTTTCACATAAACATTTCCACCCTTTATTGAAAAAAAAGGTTTTCGAAATCATAAGCATATATTTTATTTTCAGTTGAATCCAATACATTTACTTACGTGCTAATACCCTAGTGAAAGGTACGAATCCTCTTCTTCTCCTCCCCACCAGCTATGGGTAAATAGCAGGACAGACCGGGTTCCATGGCCTTGGATGGTAACTGGTCTACCGAAGAAAGAAATGGCAACCTACTGCGGAAAAAAATCTGCCTCGTCAGTCATGTATCGAAAGATACATGATCGCCTAAGTAAGTGTCACGCATGAAACATAACTGACTGATATATTCAAAAATCAATTAACACAAGACTGCTACTGAATAGGGATTAGTTGGAGTATAAATAAAGCTAACTTTAAATTGTAAATGTAGCTATTTTGGGAAATTTAAAATAGTTTACCTTATGTGCTTGTTTATTTATTGTTATTAATATAATAATTATCGGTTATGGGATCTCCCCGAATCGAATTAATTCCATTGCTATGGTAATACGGACGCTGAATCCTTGCTAATACATTTTTTTTTATTCTGTGTTAGCTCTCTTTAAATAATGTCACTTATGCAGTAGCAATAAGAATGTATTTTATTTAAAGAAAATTCTTGTCTATTTATCTACAAAAAACTGCAGTAAATATAAATAAATGCATGTAGATATTTAGTTTCTTTTCCATAAAGAAGTCTTTTCATAAATTTTATTTTCACGAGTTTTTGAGCCAATCATCATAGATTCACAATCTGCCCTTTTACTCACTCTATCTCTCTTCTTTATCCCCCTTACTCACTCTATCTCTATCCCCCTTACTCACTCTATCTCTCTTCTTTATCCCCCTTACTCACTCTATCTCTATCCCCCTTACTCACTCTATCTCTCTTCTTTATCCTCCCTTACTCACTCTATCTCTCTTCTTTATCCTCCCTTACTCACTCTCTCTCTTCTTTATCCTCCCTTACTCACTCTATCTCTCTTCTTTATCCTCCCTTACTCACTCTATCTCTCTTCTTTATCCTCCCTTACTCACTCTATCTCTCTTCTTTATCCTCCCTTACTCACTCTATCTCTCTTCTTTATCCTCCCTTACTCACTCTATCTCTCTTCTTTATCCCCCCTCACTCTATCTCTCTTACTCACTATAAATTTTTTCTATATTCTCTCTTCTCTACCTCACACCGTGTTCATTTCCTCTCATTCAACTTCTTTCTCTCTCAACCGTTATCTTTCATCTTCCCTTGCCTCCCTCCCTCCCTCCCCCATATATATATATATATATATATATATATATATATATATATATATATATATATATATTTATTTCAAAATCATAACATAAATATGTTATAAAATCACTACAAAAATAGCCATTTTGTTTCAACACCCTCGGTGTCTTAACAAATGATGATGTTGAATGTACATTTAACATCATCACTTAGTAAGACACCGGAGGTGTTGTTGAAACAAAATGGCTATTTTTGTAGTGATTTTATAGCATATTTATGTTATAATTTTTAAATAAATAATTATATCTGCTCTACTCTGTATTGAGCACTCTTTTAAGAATAGTAATTGTTGGTTATTGGAATTTATTCCGTATACACCAATCATACACTTGGGTATATATATATATATATATATATATATATATATATTACTGATCAACGGTAAATGTGCCGATCCTATATAAATTAACCCATCAGTTTTGACGGGCATTATACTAGTTATAAATACTTTTAATAGGAAGTGACTTGACATCGAATTTAACAACCATTTTCGGCGGTCTCTAAGTATATGTTCCATAAATGCATAACAATTTTTTTTTTATAATATGAATTACCTGCCTTATAAAATGGATAAAGAAGTCTTCAAGGTCACTAAAACAGACCAGAGTGAAAAATAGAAAGATTATAAGACTGGGTATTCCAACAATACATCGATTGAATAGCTGTAAGGTTTAACTATTGGATTCCCCGCTCACTATCTTAAACAAATTGCCTGCGGAGTTAATTTGCTGTGTTGAGAAGATTGACTGTGTATTTTTTTTTTACGTTAACATTTTTCTTATTCTCTGATCGTTTATGTAAAATTAGTGATTTTTTTCTCTCTGAAGCTACTACGGTATATTTTTAAAAACAAAGCTTTTAAAATATACCGTAGCATAAAAAAATGATTTTTTTTATGCTCAGTAGAACCGCTGCTGAAGAAATAACATATCTTAGACAAGCCATTTAAATAACAGGCTATAAAAATTAAACGTATGTATATTAGTGGTGTACGCGTATTTAAGACCGCATTCCAAAAGCTAGGCAGAGTATTACGAGACAAGAGGATTTCTTTGGTAATAAAGAAAAGATTACTGAGCTGCTACGTGACATCTGTCCTCCCTTACGGCGGTGAATGTTGGACGGTCTCCTCAAAGATGAAGAAGAGACTCGAAACAACTGAGGTATGATTCTACAGGAGGATGCTAAGGATATCATGGACCACGCGTGTGAGCAACGATAAGATTTTGGAGAGCATGCAAACAAGAAGGAAGCTTATACTTCACATCAGAAAGAGGCAGCTGAAATTTCTGGAACATGTAATGAGAAAGGAGGGCTTGGATAATCTGATACCCACAGGGTGAATAGAGAGAAAGAGAGACAAGGGAAAACAACGCATGACATATCTAGCGGGCTTAAGCAAGTGGATGACAGAACAGGGCCTCGGAGAAGTATCAAAGGGACAAAACTTATTGAGAGCTACAAGGGACAGGGAAAAGTGGAGAGCCATGATTGCCTAGGTCCTGAAAGGACATAAAAAGAAAAGGAACCTGTTAGTCATCATTTTGCTGTCCTTAAACCTCTCGAACTAAAGAAAATGTGAAAAAAATTTAAGAAGCAATCCTGGTCAATGGTCGTCTAATTGTCTATGTTTAACCGAAACGACTGGCGCTTTCTGGAACTCAGTTGTTCTGTAACGAAAATCTCGTCCACAATCTTAGAATAAAAAAAACACACAATACGAACAAGGTTTATCGTAATAAGATATTTCTTGTAAGCAATACGAAATCAGCGTACGACTCAGGACGTGTACGATCATGGCTCTCAACATCTTCCTGTCCGTTGTAACTCTTAGTAAGGTTTTTCTTTTGCTATCTCTAATAATCCCTGTTCTGTCAATCATTTCTAGATGTTTCAACTGTCTCTCTTTCTGACTCACAGTATGTTTCCTTTTTGTTTCCTTTTTCCCTAAAACGTTCTTGTTGCTCACTTGTTCAGTGTTTGGTATTCTCAGTATCCTTCTGTAGAACCACACTTCTGTTGTCTCAAGTCTCTTCTTCATTTGTGAGGAGATTGTACAGAATTCAGTGTCATAAAGAAAGACAGACATTGCATAACAGTACAATATTCTTTTCTTTGTTTTTTAACAGAACTTTCATGTTTCATAATACTTTGCTTAGCTTTTGGAAGACATATTTTAGCTCTTCCAATGTGTCCTAGGATTTCGGTGACACATTCCTATATTTCGGTGTCGTAGTTCGTATCTTGGGCTATGCCTTTTCTTGACACCCATATATTGTCTTCTTGCTTTCACGTCTAATTGTAAACAATACAGAAGTTTCTAAACATTTGCATGGAAACGTTTCAGAGAAATTAAGAAGCAATAACATTGACCGAATGTTACCAATAACGTTTTCTTTTCTTGGACAAATTCATTCTCAATATGTTTCCTAATGATTTCAAGGAAATCTGTGAAGATTATGTGCACATTTATGAGTACGCCAGTGGCTTATCAAGAGCATAACAACTAGGACTCGTAATATGGGCGCCATTTCGGATGGGAATGCCAAGATGCCACCGAATACTAAACAGTTAAAACGAGGAAGGTGCAAATGTTGGCCTACCGACCCAGTACCGACTCTTTAGCTTTTTGCTTCTACTTTATTCCCGGGGTTCTATTAAATCTATCTACTTGTGCTTCCCTTACACTTGCATCATTTCTTAAATAAATGTTTAAAAGATTGTTAAACTGATTGATCTTGTCGCAGTCTGTTATATTGCTATTTGTGTTGCCGGATGTGCAGTAGGTGTAATGGATAGCGACTCGGATTTGAGAAATTAGAGAGCCGAGTTCGAATTCCAATCCAGTTTGTTACAATCACTTACTCATAAATAGCATTGGGAAAGGTTTGAAGCTATCTTCCCCCAGATATGGGTTAAATAGTAGGACCTGTATTTGAAAAAAAAAATTATCTCCAAAACATTGTTAATGCTATATTAACTCGTCAAAAATAAAATAAAAATGTTTCGGCTTAAAATAACCGACAAAGGGTTGATAAGTCGTCAAAAACAAATCAAACAATCTCGTAGTGTCATTATATTATTTATTTTATTATTTTTATCTCAATTAAAATGTAGAGGATAATTAAAGCGTAGGAAATAAAGCCTCGGCTTATGGACTTTAAACAGATTTCGTTTTCTGTGATAATGGTGTTGCTATAATTTTGTAAAACAATTTATTCATGTGGCATCATCATATTATTAAAATTTAAATTCCCTTCACATCTAACAAATAAAACTGCCTTTATTTGTTATATACATTAATGTTCTCGATTTGTATGTTTTTAATAAGGTCTACTTTCCACTTTCGTAGGGTATCAGATGTTTACATCGGGGCATAATTTTAGTGCCTTGTCATGGGCGCCACTTACCATAGGTAAAATTCTGTTGTTCGCTTAGGCCTCATTAAGAGTAATAAGCATGTTCTTTTGGGAGCCAAATATCCAACTGTAAAAAAAAAAGTGATTTTATTATGAGAGATCCATTTCGTACTGGATCGTCTCTGTATGATACTGCATTCACTTTGCTAGTGAATGTTGCCTAACTACTTGGATCAATAAGAAATCAATAAGAAGTATGTTATGATTATTAACCAGTTGTTATGTTTTTTTTTGATATTTAACATTTATTCATCTTGGTTCCCTCGTAGAATGCACTCAGATGATACTGGTTTTTCTCAACAAAAAAAAAGTGGGTGGAAGATTCGGGTTTGTTCGCAAGATTTCTTTTGAAACTATTATTGATAGGACATCAAATCTGCCTACATGCCCGTGTATTCGTCGTTAAGTTCACATTTTAAAACGAAAAACTGGGAGTAAAACACTTTTAAAAGTTTCGAAAAATTAAACACTGAACGCAACTTTTAGTTTATGATGTTAAATCAGTTACGTGCCATACGTGATTGGGCGATCATGTCTCTTTCGATTCCTGACTTACTAGGCAGAAGATATTCCCACAGTAGGTTGCCGTTTCTTTCTGATGTAGACTGGATGCCAACCAAGGCTAGAGGATCCAATCTGCTCTGCTGTTCAATCCATAGCTGAGGAGAGAAGTGATCTATTATCTTTCCTAAATTTTATTTGTTTACAAGTGAAAGTAATCAATTCGGCTCTTCGATTTCTCATCCCGATCTGATATTCATTACACAACAACGTACATCTTATTAAATCTCTAAAACGAAAGGAAATTAGCGGGTGTGACACACGGTCTTTTTTTTAACGTGGGGTGCCCATACGCGTACATATGGCCAAGGACGAAAATTGATTGTCCAGACCTCGCGACGACTGCCACGCTGGCGTTGATATCCATCAAACCTCCCTCTATAGGGATTTGGTACCACAGTGCCAGGATCCCAGGGACGAGACATCCCATAAAGCTTTACCGTGTACTGTATGAAAACAGAAACATGGATAAGCGATGAAGAACAGATACTATTTCCTGATCTTACCCCGAAGAATGAGTAAAGGATCGTTAATTTGGATATTTACCGTCTCCTCACGATAGCGGTATGCGACACAAGGTCATTTTAATATGGGTGGAGTGTCTATATTTGTACATATGAACCAAGCACAGAAATTGCCCAGATACCGCGACCACTGTCACGATGTTGTTGATCCCCACCGATTTTCGCTCTTTAGTGAAATGAGGGATATACTGCCGCAGGGTTGGAATTTCCGGAACTAGGCATCTCACATAAGTTAAAAAGGAAGAGAAAACAGATACCATATTTTGATACAAGCCCACAGGCCGGGAAAAGGAGCGCTGCATCTTAGAAGTACCGATTCCTACGCATGTAATCCTGTCATCTTTGACTATACTGGTGTAAATATATTAACTTTTGATTGATCGATTTATTTGTTTTTTTTTTGGGGGGGGGTCGACGGATCAACCTATTG